AAAAACAACATACACCACAAAAGCACTTACAAAATATCCCACAATTCAAAATTTCCCAGAATCATGCCCCCAATTATGTCACAATAGGGTTTCCATAACATTCAACTACTCAGGCTACCATAAATGAAACAACAACTTCGCTATAATATAAGGGGTACCTTAAAGTCTACTCTAATCGTCATAACTTGTAGATACTGATATCTCTCAGAAGCCAGCATAATTTTAAACATTGCACACTTCAATTCAAACATTCATCCATTGCACAATACACTATCTGTCGTGTAATTTACATATATGTTCAATTACAGATAATAAACATAATTACAATAGTGGACGTTAACTGAAAACTTAATAAGCAAATTTTTTCAGATAACCTTTTAATTTTGGGGAGCAATGTACAATGGAGTTAAATATAAGAGAAAGTGGAAAAAAAAGACTTGTACCAAAAGTCGAATTTCTTTTTTCTTGTTTCATACTCTTGTTGTGTTCAAATTATGGAAAATTAAGTGATAATTTTGCTTCTTGAATTTCTTTTTAATTCTGAAACAGAAATCTATTGATATATAAAATTATTAATATACAAATTAAACCAATAATACATAAAATCATTCAAATTATTTAAGTCAAACGCTTTTACTAATGCATTTCTAATATGTGCATAACCAGTGATTTTTGCTGAGCCTAAGAATTTCCCTGAATAAATAAAATTTATAAAAGAAACGCTCATCAGAAAGTTCCAAAGTTCCTTATTAAATTCAATATTCACTAAATTTTAATATATATATATATATATATCAGAGTTGTTCTACTCACGCTTTCAATAACTAATTTTTGGAGAGGGGTAAAGAAACTGTTACAATCCTATTTCAAATTCAATAAATAGATGTAAAAAAAAGAAAGTAAAAATTTGCAAACCCAAAGACTTTTAAAGCAATCAACTTTAAAACTCACTAATTTTTTTAGATGACAAGCTTGTTCCTTGTGATAGTCGAGATGTGACAACTGTTTAGGGCGATGTTTGTCTACCCAAAGACTCATTTTTGTAATACTTCTCGCAACTTTAATACTCTTATTCTTCAACACAATACATCAGAAACAGGACAATTTTTCCCGCCACAGACATAATACAAGTGTTGCCGATCGTAGTTAAAGACTGTGTTTATAAATATATCCATTTCCGTAGTGTTACTTCGATCGCCCATTATTAATTTTCTTGAAAGCATTTCTTTTTTTTTATTAGGATGAACTATAACACGCGTTTTCTGAGACTATAAAATTTATTAATGAGTTAAAAGTATCATTTCTCAAGCGAAAAAAAGTTAGGAAATCAAGGGATAATGATGATGTGAACAAGCTGTGTAATAAAAATAATGTGGTTTTGTTTTCTAACAAACAAGTTTTGCATATTTAAGTGTTAGGAATTCCTACCGCGTATTCATTCCTGGTTGTCAAAATGGTATTAGTAATTTCAACAAATTAAAAAATAAAAGTTTTTCGCATTTTTTTTCATCATTTATCTCTGTTTTAATGATGCAATCAATGTTTTGAAAGCTATTGTAAAACTACTGATTTTGTGTTCTAGTTTTTATATCCATGTTGATTATCTTGCAACTCTGAATTTCCGTTTATACAGTTTACTATGACTTGTAGCTGTTAATTATTGTATTTTTATGATATTAAGTTATTTTATTTCCAATTTAGATGCAATTTATGCTATTGTTTAGCCGACAAGGCAAATTGCGGCTTCAAAAGTGGTATGTAGCTCATCCAGATAAACTGAAGAAAAAAATAACTAGAGAACTTGTCACAACAATCCTTGCCCGCAAGCCAAAGATGTGTTCTTTCCTTGAATGGAAAGAATTAAAAGTTGTTTACAAGAGGTAAAGAAATTTTAACTTACAGTTTGCTTGTAAATAATAGTTAAAATTCAGAATTTAGTCTCTATATCTTCTAAAAAATCATGTATATAAAATATACCGCCTATTAAAAAAAAAGTCTGAGTGAGGATTTTAGGACGGTTTTCAGTCTTTGTTGCAGATAAAAATAATAACAGTATCAGGTTTTCCCTTACTTCATTTTAGACTGCATTTTTAATAGTTTCTCTATATTAAGGTTTCTTTTATATGACAGATGAAACTGTATCTATGATTTCTTGAACATATTAAAAAATTAATATTTATAGCGATTGTGTAAATTAGTTCATATAATAGGAAAATTATGTATGCTAAATTATATTATGAGAGATGATGATTCATCATTATTTTGTTTAATTGCTGCTTAAGAAAGAATTCCTTCAAAAACAGGTAAATTTAAATGAAAGAAAGTCAAAAATTTCATAATGCATAGTAGGATGTAAATTAATAATACCAAAATATGGCATTTATGATGTATAGATCCTAATTGTCTAGAACTTTAGAGTTTAAATGGCCCAAAGTTCTGTTCAAATAATTTCTCACAGTTTCATTTTCACTCGTGTGAGTTCAGAAAGTAAGCATAATGAGCCATTGTTGAATACATCTCATACTGTTTTAATTGTCACTAATGATATCATATATAGTATCCTATGTATTAAATAATAAAAACAGTATTAAAGAATAAATATCTTAAAATTAGGCAAAAGAACAACATTGTATTTGGCATAGATTTTAACTAAAACTATAGATTTCAAGCATAAATAAGTACAGATCCCTCTTCATCAGGAATAAAAAAGTTCTGCAAAGGGTGAAGCAAAAACACTGTTGCAACCTGGCTAGTTTTCATATGGACAAGCAGGTTTATTTTTTTTATTCATGGTCCAGACTATTTATTTATCCAGTTTTTGTAGAAATTGTGAAATTATTATGAAATAAAACAAATTTCCAAAAGGATTTTATTTTAATGGAGCCCACCAAAATGTAACCTAAGGCCAGGAGTGAAAAAAAGTTTAATTTTAAATTTCTATCCTGCAAATATTGTAAAGTGAATATGACAGTTTCAGTTTATGAGTTTTTAGTTTCTGTTTTAATTATTCATTTTAAGCAAACAAGTTTTAAATATCTGTATATTATTAGCCCAAAGTTGCATTAGCTCAGAAGCGCTATTAACACATTGACCGCCAAGCGTATTTCTTAGGCAATCCTGTTCAGGCCACGCTCACCACTTAAAAGTGCTGGTATTGTAGGGCAGCAATTCTTATCGCAGTAGAAGATAGTTTACATTCGGAGCGTGATTCCTATAAGCATTCATTCAACACAAAGTCTGTTTTGTAAATAGTTACATTCTATAGCAAAGATAGCAAAGAAAATTAGCATTACTGATTTTCTGCTTTCGGAACGTCCAAAAGTCCGGAAAGAATTAGCGCTGTCCCTTACAAGTTGTGAAAAAGAAGATATTCCGTCGAACAGAAATGCTAGAATATCTAAAAAACGGCAGCATAAACTCCAAAGAAAACCGGAAAAAGCCTCTGAAGTTTTGATTCCGTAAATTATGCTATGATAAAAATGCAACTGAAGCTGGTAGAGTAATGGTAGAGCCAGAAAAAAGACTAAGACAGTTGTCACAATTTGTAATAGCTGTAATGGAAATGTTTTTAGCTACTGGGTTCAATAAAATCCTTAGTCTGTAATGAATCGAAATTAAGTAAATTTAAATAATTTTTCTGTAATTCCATAAAACAGGTAAATTGTATAGTTATATATCATGTTACACACTGTCAGCCAGCAGCGGTCGACGTGCCTAAACAAAGTTAGTGTCAGCCACAGATGGCGCGAGGCTAAACGGAAAGTCTAGTCAGTCACAGATGGCTGACTCGCGTCCAAACTGGCTGCCTAAAGTCTAGTGTCAGTCACAGAGGCTGACGGCCTAAACGGAAAGTCTAGAGTCAGCACAGATGGGTGCATGTTGGATTTAAAACAGTCCGTTCTGCCTCTCTACGGGAAAAGCAATACCAATTCAAAACTGTATCCATTGTTTTTCTTTTCTTCAGAAATTGAGTGCAGTTTACTTCTGTCCCCACTTTAGAAGGACATTTGACAGGCTTAATATAGCACAGCTAATTATTAAATTTAAAAAAATGCAGTCCCTCTCAATAATTGCTTAGCACTTGGTGCCGATAAATGCACCAGTAATGGTAGGTTGATGACTGGTGTTGCAGGCATTTAAGAAAGGCAAATTCAGATTGCAGATTATGAGGTGCACCTGTCACCTCTTAAATTTGCGCTGAAAAAAGGGCAGCTTCTTTACCATTAAATGTGGATGACACATTGTGATATTATTATTATCTTGAAAGGAGTTCTAAAAGAAAGGAAAATTGAAACAGTTCCAACAGCTGCATAATACTGAAATGAAAAAATTTTGAAACATGTGTGTACACGCGGTTGTCTTTAAGAAATCTTATCTAGAATCCTCGATCAATGGAACCCACTTCTTGCATTTTTTAAAAGAGTAAATGCTTTGAGAGTTAAGATAAAAGGCTCTATTGAAAGTTATAGTACCTAAGTAATGAAGAGTAGTTACTACTTCCGTTGTTAAAAATGGGTTTGAGAAAAAAAAGTAATTTCTGCATCAATCAGCAATTCAACTGGCAGTTCTCAAAATAATACTGCAAATATAGCGTAAAGCTGATACAAATTTCTCTCAAAATAAAAAAAAAAATTGCTCAACACACGAAACATTTTCTGATTACTGTAAGTTATCTTGTGAAGAACGAATATTTATGTTTTTTTCTTCGGACCTTAACAAAGCTTTTTGCTTTTTTTTACAATTCATTTGCCAGCATCGATGTTCGAACAATTCTACAAAGCGAATTCCATTAATTTCATGTTTTGCAATCAAGATTATGATCTGTTTAAAGACTTTTCAAAGTTTGTAACCAGTCTGTGTTTTGTCTTGTAATTCTATATATGATGTGATTTATGGTGAAACGAAAAATGGGAGAAAGAGAAGATTTGGTAATAGGAGTGCAACTACAAAAGTAGTGGAAGAATTTCAGAAGAAACAAAAAGTAAGTTTTTATCTGCATGTTAGAAGTTACTTCTGTCGAGTATGTGATTACACACTACATAATTCTAGTCAACGATGAAGTGATTTTGCATGCTAAAGTTGCTGATATTTCTGCTCTAGCAAATGCATCTTTTTCTGATATAAGGTCTTTTTGAACAGATTTCCTGGTTTGGTAGTCATGAAAGATGATGATTTGATGTTGCTATGATATACTTCAGTCACAGTTTTGCAGTACAATTAGAAAAACTTGGATGAAGTATAAATCAGCTAGGATTGACACCGTGGAGGTTAATTGGAAAATTGAAAGGCTGATGGATTTTAAATATGAACTCTCTGAATTATGTTGGCCATCTTGACATTCCCAAGTAATGAGAGTGTGAGAGGATTTTCAGTGTTTCGAAATGAGAACTAAATTTAGATCTAATATTAGTGAGACAACATTAGAAACTTTATTCGAAAGCAGGCTTACGTGGAATGCTATGAAAATTATGAAATTCTTTTTAGAGAGAAACTGCCACTGTCCTACATTTGTATGAAAACGATTAAGTGCCCTTTTTTTAATTTATTTATTTATTTATTTTTTTAAACGATGAAAGTAAGAAAATGTTTAAGTTAAGGTTTTTTGGTTTTGCTTGCATTTAAGACTTAGTAACTTTTAAAGTAATTCATTATTAAAAACTATATTTTTTATCATTTAAAAGTCTTTTAACATGTGAAAAAAGCTCCTGATTTTGAGTGTCATAGGTTGGCAAGTATGTTATTTACTTTCATAAACTGACATTATTAAAGATGGCATGGTTAATTTGGATTATGGTAACTTGGAGATTTTTTGAACCAACCCTGCTACAGCAACCTGCTAGTTTTTTCTGACGCCATTTTGTTTCACGAAGTAAAGGCTTTTTTTTTTTTTTTTACTCAACATTTTTTCCAACAATCTGCTAGCCGAATTATGATTATACTAGAACTTTTATGGAACAAAAGTGCTTGATCATGACGAAGATTAGGGCGAAATTGGGAGAAAGTGCAGAATCCCCACTGCTTGCCGCGTTTTTAAGAATTGCACATACACGGTATCATCCATGTAACTCGACTATTTTCACTAAAAAAAACATCCAGAATTGCACAAAATGGCATTACGCACACTCTTGACTTTATCCATGTACACTGCTAAAGTCCTAGCTATAACCTTTAGCCTTACCAAAATATCGCCAAACTACCTGTTACCATATTCCAAAGATTAGCCGATGGCATTTATGTATAAAAAAAAACTAAGAAAGCAAAATACCTTTAATTATACACTAATATAAAGTCACAAAAAATCTCATGATCAAATAAATCTGGTAATATACTCGGGGGGGGGGGTTAATATCAATATTGGACAGTTGTTAATTATTTTATATGTCACATGTGATGATTGTATTACATAATATATTATGTTACATGTATAACCTTCTAATGTTTTTTTTTCTCACTATAAATAAAACAAAAAAAGTATTTCTTTTATTTACTTTAACATCCTAATTTTAAAACTAGTGTGTCATGACAAATCTGAGCAAAATGAAAATTAATGTAGTGCCATCTGTCCAAGGTAATAGTAAAGAAACATGAAAAATTAAGATATTAGAATATTAAAAGCATTAGGAAGGACCAGAATTAATATCATTAACTAACCAAGATAAAGTTTTTTGAATGTTAAAAGCTTCACCAACTGAAGAAGCTTTACAGATGTTTTTCATAAACCCCAAGTCAAAATTGTGATTAAATTTCCAGCTATGATTAGGTATCAGAGATTTGTTTAAGATACAAATACATTCCGATTGAATTTTGAATTTGTTCATAATACTATTCTATGCATTCAGTGTACATTTTGAATTTGTGCGTTTAGCATATCAATTGACAGCATACTGGAAAGTGTAAGCATTTTACCTATCATAATTAAAATTATTGCCATAATATAAGAACAATATCAATACTAAAAAGTGAATTGAATTTACTTAAAATCCAACCAGTGAAAGAACTTAGTTTTTGAGATTTAAAATCAAAATGAACCAGTTTATTCTAAGGATATGTGGATAAGAGGAAATTGTTAAATTATGCAGCACATAGTTGGAGTTGTTATAATATGGTCATATTTTGCGTAGTGTTAATGCATTGATAAGTACTGCTATTGAATTAAAACCTAACAAAAAATGAGATATTACAACTCGTATTATTTAAATGTTTCTAATATGATCAATAAATAACTAGACTATGTCACAAACCATCACCAAACAGCCAGCAGTCTGTAGCATCTTCCCTTTTTCTTGATAAATCAAAAACTGTTAACAGTATTTGAGAAAAGGATAGAATAAATATAATAAAAGATACAATAATAAATGTATGGTTTTACTGGGTGAAAGACCCATGGTTAGAACTGTTAGTATATGGTGCTGGTTTGTGATATTAATTGGCAGTTTATTGATAATCTCAAGGTTATGGGGTAAAAGTTATTTATCGGATGCAAATTGGTGATTTTAGTGACTTATTTAAAGATTGCCAAACTATCTACATCTATGGTAAAGTAAACAGACATTATCGAAGAAAGCAAAATTTAGTGATAAATATAACCCTTTACTAAGCAATTATTAATTGTGCTTTCTTTAACAGCATCCATTATGGCATAAAGATCATTTATAGGTGTTAGCAGAGTAATGTTGAGTTTTCACCATAATCTAAAGAAATGAGAATTACTGTAAGAGTCTCTTATGATAATTTGCTTTAAGATTCTGGATGTTTCCTTGATCCGTCGCAATTGTTTTTGACTGCAATTATTCAACCTGTATGAAACTCAGTTCTGGAAGGTCATTGTAATAGGTTGTGCTATCTGCTAATAAGATAATTTGATACTTTTCCCTCAAAAAATGCTTATCTATTCCTTTTAACCAATTACTGAAGATGTCTCATGTCATTCATGCTTTTATATGGGATACATAATCAACTGGCAGTGTTCGAATTCCTTTAAAACACAGTGGATTCTTGGACTTTCCAATCACTAATAATTTAAGCTTTTCACTTGCATCCATATTAACAGTCTAAAACTGAAATTCATTGTTTACTGCTTTTGCCTCCGCAAACATCTCTTTTAAAATGTGGTGTCTTGTTTGGCAAGAGGTTATAAAAAAATGCAGTTTCGTCTGCATTAAAAATATCTTTCAGCAGGTAAGTAAAGAAAAGCCCTGACAGTTTTCTACCAAAAGTGTGCATGCGTCTTTGTTTACATCAGAGCTTTGGCCACATACAATTTGATAAAAAGTATCGTGCCTTGACTTAAACTCAGATAGCTAGCTATCCATCAGTGCATTTAAAAATCTTCAGTACCCATTCGATTTGCCAATTCATGAGCCTTCGCCTGTGATAGGAGTCTATTTATTGGAAAATTTCGAGTTCTAGGCTACTGGATCCATAGCAGTAGAGCTTTTTCTAGATTTTCTTGGAACACATTTCTCATCCGTTTCCTTGCTCTAGCAAATTTAGATTTTTCCCATAAATCTGAAATTGATTCCTTGTTTTTTCAAATAAGTTCACAAGGTATTTTTTTAATTCAATAGTGAACTGCCAACTTTATTAATTGCAACTTCATTAACAACATACATTAGCCATTCTTTATTTTCTTTAAAATTTCTACTTTTTTCTTCAAAGGTAAAGTTTTGTACTTTCCGCATATAGGCATCTTGAATTTTCACACGTCACACTACACTCTGAAGGAAAAAAACTAGAGCACATTAACTTGTCTGCACTGCAGGAATAACTAACACGGACCTCTAAAATTTATAGTAAAGAATTTTTTTGAAATTCTGAGAAATTTGATTGCGAATAAGCAAATGATTCTTCTGTACCCCAACCCATCATAAAGGGTTCAAAATGAACCCAAGGAAACAGGTTAGGCCAGGGAGCTTTGTCCATTAAGCATTGATAAGATATGGACAGTAGCCACTAATGCTAGCTGAAATGCAATAGTCTAGAGATACAGACATGTGCCGCTATACACAGGAAAGAAATGCAGATAATTTTGACACATAAAATAATAAATATGGCATATATTTTTCCATTAAATAAGGAAAAAGAAGTTTTTTTTTTTTTTTTTTTTTTTTTTTGTCAAATTTCTAGTTTGAAATTAACCAAAGTGATAAAATTTAGTTCAAATTAATTAAGATACTTTTAAAATTAATTCCATTACAAGTTTTGAGGTCCTTTTTAATTAGTTCGAATAAACTGAATTCAAATTAATAAGCAACCACTGTGTAATTTAATAGGGATTATTTAAATGAAAAATTATCTTCTAGGAAATGTGAAGTAAAATTTAGATAGTAAATTTAAAACTGGAGATTTTTGGTTCCATATAAAGATGCTGACATTTCAAGAGGCTGCATATCTTGCTTAATTTTGTTTGACTTTTCAAGATCCCAACTTTTCTATGAAATCAACAATGATTCTCTTGTTTTTATTGTTTGAAATTTTTTATTAATTAATCATTTTAATTACCAACTTTAGTTTAATTAATTGAAATTCTAAGTTTTTATTTCGACAATAGTACACATTTACTACCTGAATTTTACTTCACATTTCCTAGGCGATAATTTTTCATTTATATATTCTTTTAAATTAAATTTTTAATCCTTGCAGCGATAGGATTTTACTTTTTAAGCCCTTTTAAAATAAATTTTGAAATTCATTAATTTAAAGTCTTTCTCCTTGTATTTCTTGACAAAACTAATAACTTTAATTTGGCATTGATCTTTTTAATTCCTCATTTTAATTTGGCTGTGTCCCCTTTCTATCTGAAATGTTGAAATTGTTTGTAATAACTTTCTGTACTGCATCTTCCAAAATTAATCCCTTTCGTACTTGCTAATATAATCCTCATGTAATCCAGTTACTCATCAAAATTTCAACAAAGAACCAACTCTGTAAAAATCATTGCTACTAATTGCCTTTTTTCTCACTTTGTTTGTTGCTGCTAACATACATTGCTTGGCTCTACTGTTTATTGTTCATTGTCTGAAGATGTAAGCTTTACAGAATTGTGAGGTGCATATTGTGTCCATAATCATGATATGTGAACCTGTTTGTGCTTATCAAGGCTTTCTTTATTACAAAATGAAACTTTTTTTAATCTACGATGGTGCCTCTGAAAGCTTTTCTTCTCCATTATATCATCTTATGTATCTATGCACCTATCGTCTAATCCTCAAGTTATTTACAGAATTATTACACCCCATGCCTATATATTATATATATTATATTATTTTTGGTTTAGTAAGAATTGTATTGTGTGCCCATGGATTACATAGTTTAGTCTTCATTCAGTACATATTTAATCTAAAGATCAACTTTATTTTATCCCATATTTTTAGATGATATGAGCAACACAATAATTTTGGAAAATTTTTTTAGGTATGCAAGCTTGTATTTTTGTTGTGCTGTTGAGCAATGTGATAATGAGCTTCTTACTTTGGAAATCATCCATCGATATGTGGAACTCCTTGATAAGTATTTTGGAAGTGTAAGTTTCAAGCTTGTTCAGTTACTTCTGCTATTTATCAAAACAATACAGATTTAATTATAGTTATATGTTTTATTTTATAACAGTGATGCCAAATTAAAATGCTAAATACTGGTAATGAAAATTCAAAAAGAAAGTTTGTTTGATTTCGGCAAAACATTTGTGTATGGCGTCAGTAGTAGGCATCTTAATGGACATCGGCAGCATATACCAGCTTCGGCAAGTCATCTCCAAATGGTTTCCCTCTATACCACTGGATGCCTAAAAGTGGTAAATGGCATCGAATAGGTGCTAGCGATGTTGGTGCAGACATGGCTGCTTTAATGATTGTGCAATTATCATTCTCATTTGTGTTCCTGGGAAGCCCTGACCTTCTGCGATGGTAGCCTATCCATTCTGCGATTCATTGTCCCCAGCACCAAGAAACTACCATATCGCTCCTACTGAGGTCATGGCCAATATGCCCATTCAACCAACCTGCTTCTCTGAGACCTACTATACACCCCTTCTCAAAGTCCGACATTTGTTCATACTGCTGCTGGTTGTGTCTCGGAGGCATCACTAGTCACAGTGCCATCCATCCAAGACAACAGATTCGTTTGCATAGCTCTGTAGCACAAGCAATCATGCTTTTAAACTCTCCCAGCTGTGCATCTCATGTGCACATAGCATGCTTACCCTTGTCTCATTTGTTTGCATTGAAATTTAACTCATTTGCATGTCTCTTACTAGATTACATTCCTGCCTAGTTTCCTGATTGCAGCTCGATTTCTTTTGGGTGTATACAGTGGCTCCCAAAAGTGTTCGTACACTTATAATTTTCATTGAAATAGTGCTGTATCCGTTAAAAGTAACGTTCGAATAGATTTATAAGAAGATCTCTTTATTCATAAAAATAACTGAAAGATTTTTTACATAAGCGAACTTTATTTTAAAGAAATAATAGTAAAACCTGCAAACATTTTATCTCACAAAGTCTTCGTGTACACTGAAATATTTGGATAACATCAAATTAGAATTATGTTGCCGCTTTTTGTAATTTTGCATATGGGGCATTAAAAAATTGTTTGCTTTAATTTTTATTGTTTTTCAATATTCTATTTATTATTGAAAAATGGGGGCGCTGTATAAAGAATTAGTAAAGATTCGAAATTGATATTTTTCATGTATGGTCAATCAATTCGCATATCGCTAAATTAGTTCATTTATCCCATCTACGTGCATCGTATAAACCGCTTTAAAGAAGAAAATCGATTGAAACAAGGAAAGAAAAGGCGATCGAGAAGTTACTAAATTGATGAGCTATTTATTATTAGAAAATTGTGAAAATTGAGTGCTGTGCTTAATTGCTTAATTTGCAGAATTAAATGCAACGTTTTCTACTTCATTTCACCTGAACTTTCGACGAGTTCTCAGAGAAGCGTATTGTGATCGTTCTGCCTGTAAAAAAATTTTTGTAGTGAGAAAAAGAAAGCTTGCTTTCATTCGCTAAATCATGATAAATTACACCCGAAATGTAAGGAATGTCCTATTTGCTGAAGAAAGCAAATTTAACATTTTTGCTTCCGCTGGTCGAATAATTGCATGGAGAACTAAAAATGACAAACTTTCATTCTAAGAAAATAGTTGAAACAGTTAAGCATAGCGGTGGAGGTGTTCTTGTGTGGGGGTGTGCAGCAGCATCAGGACTAGGTAATTTGGTGTTTATTGGTGGCATAATGAATCATTCTCTTATTTAAATATTTTAAGAGAATTTAAAATTATCAGCCCAAATTTTGGGTATCGGAAATAACTTTATTTTTAATCCTGATAAAATCCTAAGCATATGGCTCTCTACGTTCACCTGTGGTGTCTCTGTAATTGTCCACAGGTTTTTAAAACACCACCTCAGTTGCCAGATTTAAACTCTATAGAACACGTTTGGAAATAACTGAAGGTTAAAGTACAAAAACACGACATTAAAATGAAAAGCGAACTCAAAACAGTCATGATGGGGAGAATGGATGAACATTGATGCAGAAATTATCAAAAAAACTAGTAAAATCTATTCCCAGACGCTTAAAAGCTGTTGTGGATGCTAAAGGATATCCTACTAAATATTAATTTAATGAAAAATGAAAATATTTACTAATATGTCAAGTTTTTTTTTTTTTTTTTTTTTTTTTAAGAGTGTATGAAGACTTTTGTGAGATGAAATGTTTGCCATTTTTTGATTATTAATTTCTTAGAAATGAAGTTTTGCTATATTTAAAAAATATTTCATATAATTTTGTTATGAATAGATTATAGATATTTTTATTAAAATCTCATTCAGAAAGTTTACTTTTAATTAATGGATGGAGCCCTATTTCAATGAAAATCATAAGTGTATGAACATTTTGGGGAGCCACTGTATATATTTTTATGCCAAAGTGTATTTGGTGATTCATGACTAAGAATTTCAAAATAAGGGTAGTGAATCAATAAAATTTAAAAAAAAGCAAGAAACAATTGTAATAAAACTCTTATTTTCATCAAGAAATCCTTATGTAAATTTTTTGCACTATTCTTCCCATGTTCACAGCATTCTGTTATCGCCTAAAAGAACGTTAGAAAATTGCACAAATTTTGATCCTTTAAAATTCAATCACTTAAGAAGTAAGACTTCATGATATGCGAATTATTGTAGTTTATTATTTTATTCTGCTGGGTAAAATTCAATATTTTTGAAGAAATGCAACATTTTCTTTTTTATCAGCCAGAAAATTCCCAGTATGATTGTGTGCAAGGAAAAGAAATGCAAAAGCAGACACTAATCAGAAAAATGACCATTGAATTTGAAGGTGGGAATCTGCATTTGGTCTACTGTGTGTACACAAATGCATAGATTGCTGCTTAAATACATTTTTATGAAATGTCATGGGTTGTATATTTTGATGATGAAGTGCATTGTCTCATAAATGCAGATCGGAGAGCTGCAGATAATCAGAAAGAACCCTATATTTTTATGTTTTTTGCTAACCATTTTCTGTTACTTAGAAAATCATTGTCAAAAGCTGGAGCTATAGACGGGGATATCTCTCTTTTTGGTATCTGTGAAGTTTAAGAAGATAATAAGTTATAAGGTATTTCTCCTGCCTTCGTGGTGTAGTGGTCAGCACGCTCGGCGCATATTCGAGAGGTCCGTGGTTCGATTCTCGGCGAGGGCATTGCTCATTTTTCATGTCTCCTGCTTCAAACTTTGAAACTCCTGCTTCTAATGTCTCTACAAAGTTATTATAATTCACTTTCTCACTGAAAGCAGCTGCAGTACTGATACTTTCTTTCCCCTTTTCATTTTTGTTATAAAATTCCCAGAATTGTCTATAAATTCCAAAGACAAACTTTGGTATAATTTAAATTTCAAGATGAATCCTTTAAGTTGTAATAATTGTTCCCTTCTTGACTTATTTCCTCTTTTTAAAATGTTACATCAAAGGAAAGAAAGACCTGATTTGAAATTTTGTGCGTCTTGCAAAACTGGTAATTAAAATTCCAAATAATATTTCACGATACTTTCATATGTATCTTAGGTCTTTATGCAGCTGAAACGAAAATGCTTTGCTTATGAAATTGAATGTAAATCAGATTATCAAAAATCATCCTATGTGTAATTGCTCATAAGAAAAATAGTATTAATTTTTTAGCATTTTCCAGAACGCAAAATTAAAAAATAACAACTAATACTAGCTAGCTGACTACAACTAATTTTTCCATATTTTATTAACCTATTTCAGGTATGTGAATTGGATATAATTTTTAATTTTGAGAAAGCCTATTTTATACTTGACGAATTATTACTTGGTGGTGAAGTTCAAGAAACCAGTAAGAAAAATGTCCTAAAGGCTATAGCAGCTCAAGATCTTCTTCAAGAAGTAAGTTTCCTCTTTGTTTTATTTTGCTTTTTTTTAATGAAGTTCATTTATATGTATGAATTTACTTTGATAGTTTTCCATCTTTGATCTTAATTTTTTTTTCTTGAATGTGTAAAATGTAGTATAATCTTTTGCAATTATAAGCTTAATGAATTAAATGAAGAATTTTGTTTAAATAATATTTTCTGATTATCTGTATTCGTAATTTCAACATTTTCTAGAATTACGATGATTTTTGCTCATTTTCAAATATACTTGTGTTAATACTTTACATGTATACTACACATGTGGCAGTGCTATGCATGTGTCTCAGTACATATGGGATCATTTTTTTTAACTAGTACAGTATTCACTTGCTATAAAAATATAAACATGGCCATATTAAATTTTTTTCTTCACAAAATTTCTTGTTTCTTATAAAATGTTTTCTAATTAATAAATTATAAACTGAACAGTATCTTTGTAAAAATAACCAAATAAATGTTTTTCACCAATTCACAGTGTTGCTAGTTAGTTGGCAACTTTTTACGTCAGTGCAAATAATCAAAAAATGGCAATTAAATATAATTTGTAATGGAATAGAGCAAGAATTTATTGATATTCAGTATTTAATATGAAAAAACAATATTGAATAAAAATGTAGCATAATGAGTTTATGAACTAGTCTAATTACCTAATCACATCCAAAAATCAAATTTCAAAATAATTTGAGTCTCCAGTTTGGCTGGTGAAAATGGAACAAAATATTTGTGGGCAGGTGTGCTTACCTTCCTATTTATCTTTTTTCATAATAACAGTTATTGTGAAAAGAACTATTAGCTGATAAATAAATAAATATTGATATTTCAAAAACAGTTTGCTATTTGTACTGTAAATAATACAGAGCATGCATGAAAATGTTGCACTCATATATGTCATTTTTATGTTTTAAAATTATCTCTGTATTATTTCCAATATTATCTTAAATAAAACAATTTAGGTTAAATAAAAGAATTAAAATAATATGATTGTATGAGAGTTGAATAAAATAATTAAATGAATCATCTTAGCTTTTTAAAATAAAATATGGACATGTTTATTAATAGAGGTTTTTGTGTGTGTGTGTGTGTGTGAAAAACAGTATATGAAGTGGGATGTATTTAACATTATTGCAATCTCTAATCTTATTATAATCTTCTCATTGTTAATAAATCTTACTGTGATCTGTTTTGAGTTTTGCATGATGATGGCATTCTATAGAGTTGACTCTTAAAATACCAGATCAAGTCTATATAACTTACTTGAGAATAAATCTATTAATGGAAAATTTTCCGTAATTTTTTAATGATTTAATTTGGTTTGAAGTCTGGCTGTAAGGAATGACATGAAATAATAAGTCTTAACCAAATGTTTCCTGTGTTCGCTTGTTAAAATTTCTTCCCAAACATCTGGTTAATGTGCAGGGTATTTCTGAAAAACTGTAATATTATTGTTTATTTGGCAATTTAGGAAAAGCAAAATCCAAATAGAATGATTCTCAGTGGAATGCTTTATTTAGGAAATATGCAGCATTTGAAGCCCTGAGGTGTCATGTCTAGCTGGGCAAATGGAAAGCCACCGTGATTTATTCGTGGTGGTGTTCTCTTTGTCTGCAGATCACCAAAATAGAAACCCCATTATGAAAAAAAATAAATGAAAAACAAAAAATTATGTGTTATCCCATCAGTTATAAAACTGTTGCCAAGCTGCATGCATGATTTAGCTCCAGTTTTGGATAAGAATTGATATAACAGCATACTTATAATGTCTGCACTTTTGTTATGAATAAGGATATAAATTAACTGTTATTGCTGTATTTTTTCCTTGTATTTAAAAAAAAAAAATTATTAAAATTTGGGACCTGCCATTTAGAACCAACCATCTACAGAATAGCAAGTAGTAGATTGTTTTCAAAGTTATTGAATCCTGTCATCAAAAAAAGAAAAGTTGTATTAATGAACATGAGGTGGTACTTTATTATTTTTAAACTGATAAACAGTGGCAATGCTAACATTAAAAAAAAAAGAAATTGTGCAGCGGTAATATCCATTTAAAAAGGAACATGGTTTAAGTGCTGTAAAATCAAATTTGTGACTGCATTCGGTTCATTTACAGCTGGTTTAGAAAAAAAAAAAGTGGGTCAAATGCTGGTTGTTAATTAGATAAAAAGCGAAAGTTCCTTCAGAAATTCCTATATAAGTACCTTCTTCTTTTATGGGGTCATATGAAATCATTTGTACATGAGAAATTGTGACGTATAACAGAGAAACTTATTGTGTTCACTTAACGAGCCTTTAACAGCATTCAGACAGTATCAAGCATCACTGAATTTGTTGGAAATCTTTAATTCAATGACACAATGCCATTTAGTCTAATTGTTTGTCATCAGTTGGCAATTTGAGCTGTGTCAGATATATCATGTATTCCAGTGTGCAAGATCCATCGATAAATTGTCTTCCTCGCTTTGTAAATAAAGTAATAAATATTACGTTTTTTTTTTTTTTTTTTTTTTTCTGACACCAGTTGTTACGTTATTTTCTTC